TTTTGTGTATTTGCACAGAACCATTTTTGCCAATTAGAGGGTGATGGTATTAAGGGATTTTTAAAAAATAAGCAGCTCTTTAGTGGTTAAATGAATACAAATTATTTTCATAACCGGGGGCAAGGAAAACAAAGCTAACACATTACAAGTTCCTGAAATCATGTCTGTATGTCAGTAGGAAAGCAGAATTCAATAAATAAAAATTTTACTTATGGAGCTTTTTCTAGGAATAAGTTTATCACGTAAAGAGAAGAATTCCTGTAGTGTCTACACTGCAGTGAGTGGCTCCTTTGTAGATTGAGTGACAGTCTAAGTCCCCAACTCTTGGTCCTAAAGTGACCGAGCAATAGGGAGCTCAGAGCAGCTTTCAGGATAGCCCCACAACAGCTTTCAACTACCTTCTGTCAAGGGTACAGCGGTTCCATAATTACCCATAATAATAGCAAGTAATATACTTCAAAACCCTGTTGGTATGTGGCTGGGAGAAAAAAACAGCCCTCCAAAGAAAAAACAAAGTATCCATTCCCCTATGGTATAAATTATAGCTATGTGTATAGTGAAATTTCTTATTTGCATTTCATATACAATTCACCAAACTTCTAATTCACTCATTACTTACCCATTATGGGTTTTTTAAATGGCGCTTTTAAACTTTGCTTTGGCTCAGGGTGAATTATGTGCCTAGAATTTATTCCTGAAGTCCTGACTCCCGTAGGCCTTCTGGACCTTTTGAAAATTCACAGCTCATTTTGTGGGAGGCAGTGTGTGTATATGTGGGGGTGGTCTTAGGATATCCTAAATGGTGGAATGTTTTATAAGTAAGGTCCTATCACCCAGAATAATTAAGCAGCCAAAAAAAAAAAAAAAAAAGAGTAAAGAATAGCCAATAACGGTATCGGCAAAAACCCGTTTATCTCCTTGCAGTTATGCATATGCTTGGATCCTCTATTGATTTAATACATGGAAGAAATGTGTATAACAAAAATGAACTGAATGTTTGGACATCAGGAGGCACAAATATCTTACCTTCACATGAAAAGGTAAAAGCGAGGCAAAGTTGCTTCTGAGGATAAAATAAATCTTGGACTATGATACATCATAAATGTTGGATACAGATGAGCAGAGAAGTGTTTTCTGTACATGCTCCATAAAAAAAGTGATCTTCAAGAACATTAGGGCCAGGCATGTGGCTCACGCCTGTAATCCCAGCACTTTGAAAGGCCAAGGTGGGAGGATTGCTTGAGGCCAGGAGTTCAAGACCAGCCTGGGCAACATAGTGAGACATTGTTTCTACAAAAAATAAAATTAGCTAGGTATGGTGGTGCACAGCTGTAGTCCGAACTACTCAGTAGGCTGAGGCAGGAGGATCGCTTGAGCCCAGGAGGTCATGGGTGCAGTGAGCTATGATTGCACCGTGGCACTCTAGCCTGGGTGACTCAATGCAAAACAAAAAAAGACCACCATTAGTATTTTATGAGAAGAACTGGAGGTTCAGGTGAGGCAAGGTAGTTACAGACATTTACTAGTTTCAGGATGGCAATGAAAATTCTCCTTGCCACCTAATCTCTCTCCCAACTCCCCTCCGAGTCCTTGCTTTGAAATCTCTTCCAAATTAGTCCCTATAGCTCAAGAGCAAAGGTGAGGGGCATTATCGCAGACCTGAAACACACAGTTCCTCATAAAATTAGACAGTAGTTTCTAGGTTAATAGAGATTTTGAGCTAGAAGAGCTCACAGTCACCATTTAGTTCTTGCTTCATCCTAATACATACATTTTACAGATGTGGCAGTTGGGTTCCCAGTGAATAACTGACTGGCCCAAGATCACATAGCCAATTAATGGTGGGCTGAAGGCTAAAAACGCCTATTTTCAGCTCTGTCTCCAGGTCTTTTTGACACTGCTCAGCAATGTATGTACTCAGAAGGGATAACAGAAAGGACTGGGATGCTTCACTGAAAGATGAGTCCTGATACCAAGGACAGCATGACGGATGACTGGGTCACAGACTGCAGGTCTAGAAAGTGGCACTTTCAGATTTGTGCCTGGGCACAGAAGTTTGCTCTTTTGCTTAAGACTGGCTTGAATGTCAAGGAAAATAGAATGCCGTTAATATACCATCACACAGTAGATTGCTCTTCCAAAGATACACTTAATCTCCAGGTAAACCATATTCTCCAGTGACATACTGTTTCTTCTACTCAACCAGAGAGTTGTGCCCTGACACTAGTTTAATGATAAGGTTGTTGCCCACTCACAAGGTGCAGAACTTTGGACATTTTTATATGGTCATTTGTGTGTTTAGAGATTATTCCCAATTTTATGAGGGGAAGCTATCTTGTTACAAAGATGCATTCATCTCAATTTTACATCAAGCTAATGTATACTCATGAAAACTATCCTAAGCAGGAAACGTAAATATTCTCTAACACCTAAAATTAACCTCAAGTGACCTACATAGTTTTCAAAACTTCCATTTCATTTGGAAGCAGAATTTAAACAAAACATTATTTTCCATGAAAACGGTCCCTTTAAAAATGCTACAAAATTGCTACAAAGTTAACAAAATTGATTGTTAATTTTGCCAATGATTTTGAGCACTTAGTTGGCCTTCAGATATATTTAAAAATTAAGTGAGTTAATTTTTTCTGATGGGATCCCAAACTAGTTTTTTTCCTTATAATGACACATGATCAGGTTTTCATTTGCTTATTTTTTAGGATGCCCTTGTTAATGATGTTTTGTTACCTCCCGACTTTTAGTGTTGTTGGGATATATTGGTTTTCTGGGGAAAGTATAATTGAAACTATAATATCAAATATTAACAGATGTCAAAACAAAGCAATTTTAGTGTTTTTAATTTAATTGCTTATTTTACCAAAATGAATGTGTGATTCTAACAGCTAAGAAGCTAACATCTTTAGCAGATAGAGAACAATTTAACAAAGTTCTCTCTTCAGGATTTTAAGAAAACCCTGGATATTAATCAGTTTGTTTAACTGGTTTGGCAGTAATACACATAAATGTGCTGATATTTCTTAGCAAACATTTTCCTAACTATGCTGCTGCCTCCAAAAAAATTTTATTAGCCATCATCAACTTTGAGATGTTGTTTTAGGGTGGAAACCTAGGCAATCCATCCTCACAGAGCATGGCTGGAATGAAGGGTCCCCTGAAACTGCTAAATGAGAAGAACTGAAAAGGGTCTTGTGAAGTCATGACCCTGTAAAGGTGTTGGTTTACAGAGTGTGAAGCAGGCAATTCAACAGCTGCACCCAGGAAGCAACGCTGCAAACACCCGTGGCTGGGAATCACAGATACTGTCATTTTGAAGGACTTCTGGATACCACCTCTATGACAGACTCACAATTTCTTTGATCTAACTTCTATGATAGAGAAAACTCTTTAATTTGGAATATGGTTCAGTATTTCAACAGAAGATTATTAAAATGAAAAGCAACTAATTGCCTTTTCTGTTGGTCTGTTTGTTTTAGACCATTTTTAGGTCCCTAAAGACAAATACACTAGGGACTGTGCTCAAAATCTGAGGTGCAAATTTTAAAGCAAAAGCTGTGCGTTCCAGGCCCACTGCTGGATGTCCCAGCCTTAAGGTGTGTGGACCTGGAGAGCACGCTGGTCAGCTCCCATGAGGGTATAAGAACAGCATTTTCGTATGAGAATTGATTCCAGAGAAACTTATTTTAGCTTACTTTAAAAGGCTAAATAAGTGATTGCAGGGCAAGAGCAATGAGTTGGGCGCCAACATTTTTAGGATTTTTTTCATGTTATTATCAACGACCTATTTTCTCAACAATGATACTTTTCTCTGCTTCAGTTTATCTATATAATGGATATATTCAGTTTAATTCCCATGTTCCCAAAGAGGTAATGATGGGAAGATGTGTTGATAAATGGTTTTAAAGCTCTTTAACTTCCTTGGAAAGAAAGAAAGAAAGGCCTTTTTCTTTTTATAGTTCTGACAAAATACTTGGAGACTTAATACTAGGTCAAAAATCTCAGTTTGGATCCTCTTTCTAGTGTTTTAAGGTGAAATAGAGTAGGTTGTAATGTGTCTATAAATATATTATGTATATATCTTTGATTACAAAGTGAAAAATAAGAATGTCAGGCCTCAAAGATTAGTAAAATGTAGATGGTAAAATTACATATATCATTTTCCTTACACGGAGGAAATTTTTGGCCTCCTTCCACTCTGTTTTGAACGCCATTCATATACATCTGTTCCACAGGAGTAGTAGCTGTTTGAAGTTTAAATCCATGACACCCTTTACAGAACAGTGTCAATCTGATTGCAAAATGATCAAGCAGAAATGCTATTTTTCTGATATAGAGGGGCAAATTCAATTTCTCCAAGGAAAATGAACACACAGACACAGGCACGCACGCACGCACACACACGCACCCGTCTACAGGGTTGAGGTTTTTCTTCTACCCCCAGCTAATAAAATCAGGGGCTGCAATGGGGCTGAGCGGCACACAGTTTGATGTCCGCAGCAGGATACAGGGAGTCAGAAGTGGCGCTGTAAATCCAATGTGGGGTTTCCACGCTGTGTGAAGTGTGGCTCGAGTCACAGAGATTTTCCTTTGATGCAAGTTAAGTATATTAATGGGAAAAGCATTCACTTTTATTTGTCTATACTGTCTGCGACAGCAAGACTGCCTCATTTAGCTTGGGCCAACATGAAAATACACAGAGAAGCAATCTGTTGCAAATTAGCACAACTCTCCTTTCATTTACTAGCTAGTAATTGGAAGGGGTTAAGAAAGTGTAAGTTATCAGATCATGTGAGCCTATCTGCCTGTGTGGACAGCAAGCTTTCCGCGATTTTCCCTACGATCCCTGAGGCAAAAGTCCTTCCTCGATGACCACTTGATCTGCAAGAAAACATCAACACGTGTGAAATAGACACACTTTGTTAAGTTTAAGAGTGCAGTTTCCTAGGCTCCTGAAGGAGGCATTAAAATTTTTATTTGAACCTTACCTTTCTTTAGATATGTTTTTACTCTCCCGTTTCCAAATTGTCTTGAAGTCACTGCAGAACTCGTACCATACCATAAACACGTAGCTCGGTGTGATCTCCTTCTCGCCAGACTTTGGCTTCATCCCAAAATATCCTACTGTTGTTTCAAAACTGCAACAGGTAGAGGGGCAAATGGAATGAGGCAGAGGGTGAGAAACTGTCAATACCAAAACCCATTAGAGAAGGGACACCGGGGGCAGTTTCCTGTGGGTTTGTTCTCTAACACAGAAGCTAGGGCTCATAGTTACTGACGTTTATTCTAAACCTCAGAAAATGTATTTGCCCAAACTGATTTGCCAAGAAATGCAACCTGATTGGGATGTTCCCGGGCACATCTTATCTGTATAAAATCGGCATGTATAATTTCTGGGGTTGTGCAGCTAAAATTTCTTTAGTTTGTTCATCTCAGATCCATGTCTCTTCTCTGCTCTTTATTTTATGTTTAGTGATTACATGAAAGGCTGATGAAACACTGTAATGTTAACAGTGGTCAGTTTGATAGCTCATTGGAAATAATTAACATGTCAAATGTTTCACAGAAAAGCAAGAAAATCCATTCTATCATTATTCTGGCATATACTGGCTTTGTAATCTTGGGTCAGTCACTCAGCATCTTTGACTTTCAATTTTCTCAAAACTAAAATAAGAGATGTAGATGATATGATCTTTAAGAGGGCTACCTTTTAAAGCTTATGCTACAAGAATACAAACCACAAATGTACAAAAATAGATACAGTTGTGGGCACAGCAAATTTTGGATGAAAAACCATTTCTGATCTTGAAAAATGATGTCCAATCTTATCAAAAAGAACCCGTTTTCCAGAGTGGACTCCAAGATATCAATAAGACCTACCTCAGGAAGGCTCACTGCACACCAGACTACCTGGGCCTCCCAAGCAGCCCTTCTTGGAGGCACTAGCTTTGCAGCAATTTATAGCTTTGAACTAATCTTTCCCCCTCACCCCCACCTACCCCAAGCCTCACAAGCTCATTTGCCATGAGCAAGAACACTTAAGTAAATGGCCCCCTTTTCTAGGGTGTTGGAAACTAATCAAAGCAGGAATGGCTGGCCAGGTTTATTACTCAATGCTCTATCATCTGTTCAGACACAGCAGTTTTTATTTATTTATTTATTTTTTTTGTGGCCATCCTGAATGCTGATTTTCTAATGGAACTCTATTCAATGGCGATTGTAAAACCCTGAAGCCCTGTTACTATTATGGAGCATACTTTCATCTCGTTCTCAGTTATTGGGCAATATGTATCTCATAAGATTTTATCACATTTCACAGATGAACTGTTAATTGATTCCATGGCTACGATTAGGTGAGATCCAAGCTGGAACTGCAGCTCTGAGTCCCATAAATTCTTTGTGCTTCTGTAAAGAATAAATCTGTTTTTAACGCAAATTAAAACTACTGGTCAGGGAATTTTGGCTCCCAGTTATTAAAAGACTGGAAGTGCATAAGTGGAGAAAGCCAATAACTTTGGTAATCTCTCACGGGACTCTATTATAATTCCAAACACACATAATGTGAAGCACAACCAGGAAGGGAAGAAAGTGCCAATGTCCACTCTTGCCCCAGACATAACCCTTAACTCCATGGCAGTCCAAATAGTGGTAAAACCAAATGTATACTCTATAGTATGTAACTTTATTTCATTCAAATAAAAATTATTTTGATCATAGCATGGGAATACATAATTAGAGAGTTATCTAGCCTATAGAAACAGGCCATGCATTTCCTATAAAGTCACAGGACTTTAGATTGGGAAGGAATTTACAGGATGACTTGCTAAATTATCATTTTACAGATGACAAAACAGAGGCCTGGAAAGAGTGCGTGACCTTATTCACTGACAGGGTTGGGCCTAGAACGCAGGTCCCCTGATTTTTTTGTGAAATGTTCTGTCTGCTCTATCTTTCTGTTGCGCATGCTGGGTAACACAGGCATTTAAAAGACAAAATAGTTGTTCTCCCCCACCCTTTTCTACTTTAGAGACAGTTGTCCTCTGTATCACACATAACATGCATTACCTCAAGGAGGGCACATGATTATTTTTTCTCTTTCTTATGTATACATTCTATACAGATACATATTCATTTGAGCATTCATGGGGAAGGGAAAGCTGCATTTCTAGCATTTAGAGGAACAACTTATCTTCCAATTTTCCAGCAGAACATAGTGGAGTCCAGTTACTGGGCTTCATGGATCACCTGACACCTCTAGTCTTACCTGGAGTCTAGATTGTGAGATCGACATATTGCATATCCTGGTGTACTTTCAGAGAACAGCGTGATTTGGTGGTTGTTGCAGGTCCTGAGAAAAGTACGTCATTTTCCTGAGGCCTTGATTTTCCCAACTCTAAACTGAAGCTAACCTTTGCCATCCTTGCCTCTCTCCCCAGGGATTTGTGAGGTCCTGCTTGCTTACTCTCCCTGAAAGGGTAGGGAACACTAAGAAAAATACTAAATATTAGCATTTACTATTTCCTATGTGTTTCGAAAACTAAGAAAGCGAGTGAACCTCTTTAGAAGAACGAAAGCAAACAAAGTCCCAGAGGACGGCCTGGCTTTGGCACTCAGCAGTTTTTTTTTTTTTTTTTTTTTTTTTTGGCACTCAGCAGTTTTTAAAACACAAAGTCACTTCCAGTATGTGCCTTACTTGATTTCATTGTTATCTCATTGTTTAAGAAAAAGCCAAAAGCTAGAGTCTGAACCTACAGTGATCTGCTAAGTTCTAGACTGTTAGCTTTCCTACACAAAACTCCATTTTAAATTCAGTTTTGATTCACAGAAGGCTGATCATTGAAAATCTTTTGCAATTTGGGCAAGAAAATTGCTGATATTTAATAACCAGAAGAATTTTCTCCAATATACAGGAAACAAAGGTCAATCACATGATTTGAAATTTCTATTTGTCAGCAGATAGCTCCAAATGGCTCTCAACTTTTAAAAGATTGATTTCTAATCATACGTTTTGTTTTATGTAACTTTTTTATTTCACTGCAAACTATTCTCTGACCCCTTTTCTCTCTGCTCTAATTTCCTGTCTGATTCGTATCTTTTTAATTCAGCCAAACATTTGTAAAGTACAATGATTACATCAAAGATCCATAGAAAAGTGAACTGTTTTACTTTTACAGTGCTGAGATGCCAAAGCAGAACACGTCCACTTATTGTCTTACATGCATGCCTTCAGAAACTGCTTAGGAAAAGCAAATACTCCTTACCCTCAGAGTAAATTGTTTCTCTTGAGAATAAAACATAAGAATTTACTAGATCTCGCACAAATATTGCAACACTGACCACAACCTCCTTAAAGAGTGTAACCAAACAACTGTGGTTTCTACATTAAAGATGGGCTATAACATATTTCATGTATGACATGAAAACTAGACTACCTTCACCACAAAGCCACGGAAAATGCTGACAACCTAAATTTATGACTGCCTTCTCCATAGCTAATGCACGGCAGCAACTTTGGCCCCTCTATGGTGGGTCCCCTTTTCCTTCAGCAATAATCTTGAAAAAGTATTAGAAATTTAGTTTCCAGGATGGATGTCAAATTTCTGTTTGGCCTTATACCAATGTGCCCTTGTTGATAATCTCTTCTCTATGTGCTGCATGTTAGTTTTATGCATTGGGAAGGGAAGCTTAATATAGGAATAAGGTCATTAGAGAGACACAAACTCCTAAAAGCATAACTATGGAGTTACCTCAGTTTTGAATGATTATTATGCTAAGATAAGCATGATTTGAGAACATGTCTGTACTTAGCAAAGTGTAAGACTTGCCTTCGCTTTGGTTTCACCAGCATTTTAATCTTATTGGTAATTATAGTGGGAAGCAGGGCAAGATGCTGGCACCTGTGAAAGTAGGGCAGATGGCACTGTCTATGGGATTTCAGAAGTCTCGAAACTTGTGGCTAGACAGGAGGAAAATGATTCATTTCTACAATCTGTTTATTTGCATTTAAATTCCTAACTGGGAAACTGTTCCTCTCACACATCTGTAAAGCTCATTTTTCCTTTTATGCTGTCTCCTTCCCCTACCTCTCATCTAATTTACCAGTACTTTTAGAACAGGAACCAGCAAAATGTATCTCAAATTTCATCCCCAAATATGAGAATACCTCTGTCTATTGCCACTCACTCTTCTATGAGGGAGGGAGAGCCAAGCTGACTAACCTCATCAACTAACAAAAAGGAAAAAGCTCTAAGGGGTGAGAACTGCTGATGATTAGTTTCTACTGGCTGAAAGTATGGCTAGTCAAACATTATGCTACAAGAAAGAAGCCAGGGTGGAGTGGATGGTTCCCCTCTGGTGTCTATTGACAGAGAAAGCAAGGAAGACACCTGAAGTGGGTGACATGAGGCCGAGCAGAAGACCTCTGAGGTCTTCCTCAAATTCTGGGGGGAATTCTCCATATGCTATATGGGCATATGGACAACCCCTTCTCCCCACCTGAACATATGGACAGTCCCTTCTTCCTATCTGCCCCCTGTTTTTAATATCCTCCTCTAGAAGCTGAGGAAAGATATAATATGTCTCTTAGGTGTCTGCAATAATTAGTTTGATCTAATTGTAATGTTAAGAAGTATCAAACTGTCCCTGACTTCCATGAAGCGGTTCAGGAGCAGAGCAATGCAGAAGAGGCAAACAGGCAGAGTAATGTCATGACATGTGTGTGAGGTAGGTGAGTCACTTCTGGATGATCCCTGCTTCCTGAGGAAAACTATTCCTAAGTCCTGTTCCACTGCTATCACTCCAGCTTCCAAGTGAAGCTTACTGCTTACTGATGTATAGTCTTATCATATGAGGCTGAAAGTATGGCTAGTCAAAATATGCTACAGGAAAGAAACCAGGCACACAAGGACAAATACTGGATGACCCAACTGTATAAGGTAGCTAAAGTGGTCAAAGTCACAGAGAGAGATAGAAAGCAGCATGGTGGGTGCCAGAGGACATGGGAGCAGGGAATAGGCAATTTGTGCTTAAAGTTTCAGTTGAGGAAGGTGAAAATGTTTTGGAGATAGAATTGCATAACAAAATGAATGCACTTCATAATAATAATAAAGAAGAATGGCTAGCCAAAGAATTAGGGCTAAATCGGAGCTGCTTACCTTTTCTGTGCATTCTCCAAGTGACTTTCTTCCATTTTATGCTCTTTCTTGGCTGTGAAAGAGAAATCATGATTAAAAATATTTTCTTCTGTCGTCTCCTTTGTGTAATCTTACAGCTTCAATTACAACCATTCATTACCATGGCAGGTCTGAATTCAGGGGTGGGCAGCCTCTAGTCAGCTTCATCTGGCTTGCTTTCTGCTGTAGCCTTATTGTCGAAAAGTGGCTATATGTTAAAGCAAGTATTTTAGCTTAAAAATGCATATACTGGATAAAGTTCACTTACAAAGAGATATACTAGCTTTCCTGAAAAAAAAAAAAAAACAACTTTACATTAAGAACATGAACATAACCTAAAGACTGAGAGGCTAAAGTTGTATACATGTATCTCTAGATGTAGTGTATTTCCACTAATAAAAATCATTTTGTTTTGTAGTAAAATGATTCAGCTTTCCTAAGTGTGTCATTTTAGGCAGAGTGAAGCCATGGCCAGTGCCATCTTGTGCTGTGTGACATCTCCCCATACGGTTGGCAGGGATTTCTGTGAATTAGTCTGGTATTTAGCTAATCAGATACTGAGAAGTGACCTGTGTCTCCCCTAGGTTATCAAGTTCCCCCAAACGTGAAACAAACTAGTGATTTGTTCTTTCCCAGTGATTTTAAGTTATGGGCATTGCCAAACAGGAGGAAAAATTCCTCTGAGACCTGAGTGATCTTCTTGGACCAGCTCTGCTCTCTCACAGATGGTTTCTAACTGGCTACTTCCAGGCTGTGCTAAGCAGACTGTGGCCAAGCCATAAATGTATAGGAACTCAGTGACAAGAAATACCCTATTCAAACTGAATTGAGCATCAGATAAGGTTTTGCAATACCTCTGTGAATATGGTTATTTGGAGAAACCAATTCCAAATGTAAAAAGAGATACTATTAAGAGGTAATGCACACTGCAGAAACTCTGAGGGTTTAGGGAAAAGAGACTTCGAGAAGAATTGAGAGATCTAAATTTTGCCAAATTTTGCCCATGTACAGATAAAAAAGGCGTCTACCCTTGTGGTGTGACCTGGAAGCTCTAACAGCCTAAAATATTTCTCCTACCTCGGTGTATAAAATTTTAAACCGTGACACTACACATTTTAAGTCTTCAAAATGCTCCAAACACAACACAAATACATTACCTGGAAGAACCATGTGTAAAGATTGGAGTCACAGACTCAAATTCTAATACCATCAACAAATATGGTAATTGTGGGCCAAGTGTAAGAATCCCAGTGTTCTAACGTTCTATTTCTAGTTTTTCAATATGGGAACTGATAGCCTTAAAGTGGGGAAGAAAATAGGAAATTGTAGGAAAGTGGGAAGGCTGTGCCCCATTTAGGAGAGGACAGGCACTTGGCCTTGTTACCAGAACTAGTTTTTTAGAGAAACTAGACGTTTTTAAAGGAATGTTCCCAATTTAAAAGTTTTCAAACAATATGACAAAGGGAATAGTCCTGCTGGCCATGTGTAGGTCTGCAACCTCTGATTTCAGCCTGTAGTAGCTGCTGACGTAATGACATAAGAGGTTTTATTCCCTCCTTCCATGTGCTAGACACTATTCCAGGTGCTTTGGAACCACCAGTGAAGAAAGCAAACAAAGGTCCCCGTAGAACTTTTGTTCCAGTTGGGGAAGACAGATAATTAAATCTAAGAGAATAAGAATCAGTGTAAGTAATTTTTGATAAGTGGTAACAACAACAAAACCCAAAAAAACCCATCCAGAGCACAGATGGAGGCCCACAGATGGAGGCCTACAGATGGAGGCCTACAGATGGAGGCCCACAGATGGAGGCCCACGAGTTACTGAATTAGACATGCCAGGGCAGCCACAGTGTGTCCCACTGGGACTTGGCACAAAAAGGGGAAAGACAATATTTACATTGAAGATGACAAGTCTTAGATGAAAACTGTCCTTTGACTAGGAGTGGTTCAAATCTATATGCAAAATTTACATAGTCTTCCATTCTACAGAGCCACATAAATAGTATTTAGATGCTTCATTTTTCTTTTTTTGAGACAAGGTCTCACTTTGTCACCCAGACTCAAGTGCAAAGGCATGACCACAGCTCACTGCAGCCTCAAACTCCTAGGATCAACTCATCCTCCCACCTCAGCCTCCTGAGTAGCTGAGATTACAGGTGTGCATCACTGTGCCTGGCTAATTTTTTTTAATAGCAAAACATGTATGTGTATATATACACATATATATGTAAAGACATATATGTAGGCTAGTCCTATATAGCAAGACATACATACATGTGTATATATACATGTGTGTGTGTGTGTGTGCTAGTCTTGAACTCCTTGGCTCAAGCAATCCTCCACTTTGGCCTACCAAAGTGCTAGGATTACAGGTGTGAGCCACCATACCTGGCCCATTTTGGGATTTCAACTGTGGTTCTACTAGTGTGAGGTGAAGCAGGGGTAAGTTTCTTAGGAGACAGATGAATTTAGAAAGATTGTCAGACTCAGTATGGGAGAGGTAGGGAAGTAAAAGGCATCCCTCAATTTGTTCTTCTTTCCTCTATTTATTTACTGTCTTTTAAATTTTTCTTGTTTTCCTCCTCTTATTTATAATAAGCTGTCTTATTGTCTGCAATGAGTTAAGTATAATTATTTTCCAACTCATAGGAATAAAGTGTAGCTGCTTAGAATAGTGATAGTCTTACAGTTTTCAAGATAATAAAAGCAGTTAAGGAAAAGAAGTCAGAATTCTGCCTCCCAAATATCTTCATCAAGGTTACTTGTATGCTGCAATGATGATAAATCTTGGAAATACTTGGAGAAAGTTAAGAGGTAAGTTTCCTTGGTGACACACTTATAGTACAATTTTATGTCATTGGCAGACTATAGTTTTTCTTAAATTTAAATTTTCTCCTTAACATTTATTTTTCATAATGCTATGTCACAGAGAGAAACTAACATGGCTTCCTTAGAAGGCATTTTTTTAAGAGACATTTATTTGAATTTTATTTAATATAGTCTTGAATGAGAAAAGACTGCTAGCTTTTGTGTAAATCTTTAATGTCTTGAAACTTTGTTTTCTGGTTCATTTGATGGCAATTGTTTTATTATGAAATTTCTCCACAAGAACAGGTCTGAAGTTCATAGTACCATAGTCTACAAAATGAAGTAGAAATGGCTCTTTGCATTTCTTGGGCCCATAACCATGGAAACAAATCAGGACTCAAGATACCTAAATGCCAAGCTTTAGGCCCAGCTGTGTCACCTGAGTGTCATGAACAAGTCACAGTGTCCTGTGTTTCAGTTTCCTGCTGTCAAATGGAGATGATGATACCTACCTCCCACATAGTTGTGAGGGTTACATGAAGTGGGTGTGTGAAAGTGCTTGGTTGAATCAGTCTTTGCAGTCAGGTCTTTGACAGTTAAACTTCATGCTGAGGCTGCTGGAGGTTCAAGCTTCCAATGGGTTGGCTGTTGTGCCAAAGTTAAATGAAGTAGAAAGAGCTTGGGTTTTGCATCAAGTGGACCTGGGTTGAATTTCTGCTCTGGGTGATCTTGAGAAAATCACTGAACTCCACTGAGCCTTATGCATATAAAAATGGGAATAATAGGATCTACCTTGCAAAGTGCTTTTGACTGTGAGATATACTGAATGCGTGACTAACATATGGTGGGCATTCAAGAATGGCAGCCGTTTATTGATTGGCTACAAGCACTTTTAGTTAGAAGCAAATGCTAGTAGTCACTATTCTAGCTTTCTGACTTTAGAATGATTATTACAAAATTTCACACAAAATGCTTTCTTTAGAAGGTTCATAACCACTTTCAGTAGACAAGTATTTTGCTTGTTAGCATTTTATGCTCAAAACTTATTTTTTTTTAATTCATGCACTGAGCTGATGTCCTTAGCATGGGCTGTAAAAGGCTTTTCTACAAAAGGTGGTTCCCTACGTCTGACTTAGTCATTTTATTTGCTGTTTCAACTCCTTTCTTCCTCAGGAGAAAAAGAGAGATATTCATAAATTAACAAATAACTAGGGGTCCTGGGGATGGGTGTGAGGAGAGAGGTACCTACGATTATTCTCACCTGTTTTTTCCCCTTAATTCTCATTGAATTCTGTAATCTTTGACCTGATTAACTGGACACTGCCCCAGTCCCCCAAAAAACATAATGATACAGAAGTCTGTTTTTAAGAAGTAAGTTTTCTGAGAGCTAAGATTTCCTTTCTCGACCTTTAGGCTTTACATGGCGACATGTTATAGGTTCCCCTTGTTGCACAGTAAATTCAATTCTCTTCGTTGCCACCCAAACTGCCATCTTAAAAGGAAACAATGCCCACATAAGTGAACTATGCCCCCTTTCTGCTTCATGTTCTCACTGGTTCCTCCTCTGAAGACAGTGCATTTGCAGTTCACCGTGAGCCCTTCACACCTGCGTCCCCAGCGCTCCAGCTGGGTGGGACTTGTGGCTGTTCTCTGGATTCAGTTTGTTCTATGGTGATTTTATTTTTGGACACTCTGCTCCTTTTGTTTCTAACACCTTCTCTTCCTTGCTTTTCTCCCTTCTCCTACACTTTTGTTTGAATGTCTTCTCTTTTTTCAAAAACCAAGCTTAGAAATCTCCACCTCTCCCCCATAAAGTGGTGAGCCTTTCTTTCTGTGGAGCTCCAACCACACTTGCTCCACAGGACTCCTTATCACAGCAAACAATGCTATCTCAAGATCACCGGCTTGCAGCTGGCTTTTCTCACTGCACTCTCTGCTCCTTCAGAGTTGCAAACAAAACGTTTCAAAGCCTTTCTCTCAACCATCAGCTAGTAGGCATTTGTGGACTTATTTTTTTTTTTCTTTTGAGACAGGGTCTTGTTCTGCCACCCAGACTGCAATGCAGTGGCGCAATCTCGGCTCACTACAACCTTCATCTTCTGGGTTCAAGTGATTCTTCAGCCTCAGCCTCCTGAGTAGCTGGAATTATAGGTGTGCAACTTTTGTATCTTTAGTAGAGATGGGGTTTCACCATGTTGGCCAGGCTGGTCTCGAACTCCTTACCTC